GTGGGTGTGTGGGTGTCGTTGTGGGTATGAGAGGATGTGGGTGTGGGGTGTGGGTGTGTGAGTGTGGGTGTCGTTGTGGGTATGGGTGGATGTGGGTGTGGGGTGTGGGTGTGAGTATAGTTCATTTCTTCACTAACACTCTCCCCACACCCACACCCACACCCTTTTGTATAAAAAGAAGAGTAATCAGCCATATTGTGAGATGAAAAAATCGTTGTCCTCAATATAAAAGTTACTACACAGGCGAAGAAGACTCTTTTATAGAAAGTATTATTCAAAGAAAAGTTCAATGCCAGAATTTATTGGGTTTAAATATGTTTTAATAAATCGATTTTCGCTTAAGAAAGCGTTCAATTGTAATGAAATAGACATAATATGTATTAATGTGAATGATAATCAGCATCATATACAAAGATGAAGCAAACTACTTTTCCGAGACTTAGATTCTACTAGCCAAATATTACATTGGCTTCGGTTATTTTTTATTCAAATGATTAATTTTGAATTGAACAAAATATTTGAAAATAAAAAATGTTTATTTTCAACGTAGAGAAAGCAAATTCATTTTCCTAGTCAAGTACGTATTTCTGAATTTCAAAAACAGATTCTCATCAAACAAAAAGTGAAAGTCTTAGAAATGTGAAAAAGCCTTTCTTTTTATCATTGAGAGCAGTTTTTCAAATGATTGTTCACTGTAAAGAAAATGGACAACCATTATACTAAATAATTTTCGAAGCAAGTGAGTAACTTATTTCAATGTAGTCAGCATTTATTTCTACTTCAAATTTTTGTTTCATTTCAGCACCACTACGTTCAAATTCGACCGGCATTAATGCGAATGCAAAATGGAATCGAAATGGTCTCACTGTGGCTGGAGGGAATGGATCAGACAGTGGAATCAATCAACTCAAGTGCTCATGGGATTTGTATGTAGATAATGACCAAACTATTTATGTCGCTGATGCGGCTAATTGCCGTATTGTGGAATGGAAATGTGATGTGACGAGTGGTCAAATGATTGCTGGTGAATATGGAAGTAAGACTCACCAACTGAATTGTCCCTACGATGTGATTGTCGACAAAAACAGAGATAGTGTCATTATCTGTGATACTGGGAATAGCAGAGTAGTTCAATGGCTTTGCCGAAATGGTACTAGTGGAGAAACCATCATCTCAAACATATCTTGTCGAGATTTGACAATGAGAATGGATATCTCTATGTCGTTGACTATGGAAAACATGAAGTGAAACGATATCGAAATGGTGGCACTGGAGGAACAGTGGTGGCAGGTGGCAATGGAAAAGGAAATCGTCTCGATCAACTCTCTAGTCCCTACTATGTATTTGTCGATCGGGATCATTCAGTGTACGTGTCCGATAATGGAAATGATCGTGTGATGAAATGAGAAGAAGGTGCAAAACAAGGGACTGTCGTAGCCGGTGGTCAAGGATCTGGAAATAGTCTTACGCAATTGTCAGGTTCTTTAGGAGTTGTTGTTGATCAATTGGGCATTGTCTATATTACTGATCGTGAAAATCATCGAATCATGCGTTGGCTAAAAGGAGTCACGCAGGGAACTGTGATTGCTGGTGGAAACCGTTCCAGAGAACAGTCGAATCAACTGAATTGTTCCACAGGTTTATCATTCGATGGACTTGGCAATCTCTATGTCGTAGATTTTAACAATAATCGAGTGCAAACATTTAATATCGATTGAAGTTCATAGTTAGTTGCCATCATCTTTGTTGTTAGTTGACCTTATGAGGAGATAATACATGCGTATATTTCTTTTCTTTATTACCTAGAAGCAATATTTCATTTAATCGTAATTTTATTTTTCATGTATCAAGAAACAGAATGAATAAAATACAACAGAAATAATGCATTCTAATGAAAAAGTTATCTACTCATTTGATTCATTAGTTATGTTAATGCATAAATAATAATAGAATCTACGGATAACCAAAGAAGAAAGAGACTCTAGATCGAGATGACAACCATAGGAATTCATCGAATCTTTTGATTTGACTTGAGATTATATTATCATCAAAAAGAAAACGTTGTGAATCTCGAAATGTTTCATTAGAATGCGACGAAACTAAATAGACACCTGAATAATTTCTTGTCATCGCTTTAATATCGAGTATATTTTATTGTTAAAATTATCTTTTTTCTTTGGTCAATGTTTATTTTGTTCATCTTTTGCTAAATATTCAAATTTGAATATCAAAATTCCTTTTCATCGAACTAAACTTAGTAGAAATCTTGACTTGTGTCAACGTCACTCGAAACATTTGAAAGTTATCTCCGTTTTATATAACAGAATGCCTAACGTGACAATTAGAAAATAAAATATTCTAGTATCTATTCAAACAGATTTTAAAGGTTCGAGAATTTTTCATTCTAGTAGCATTTTAATTGATTTAAAACGAATATCATTGCCGACGAAATCTCAAATTGAAATATTATCGAATGTTTTCTCACTAATTTGAATTGGCATTGATCAAGAATAGAACTAAAATAGTTTTGTTTTTTTAATTCACTCAATTTCATATTGATTCGATATGTTTCAATTTAATTTGACGCTTTCTTACAACGGTTCGATTTATAACATCATTAGATTTGTTGATTTTCTATTCAGTCTTATAACGTTAAGAATTCGATAGTTTTGTATTTTTCTCTTTTATTTGTTATACAGAAATCGAAACATCTTGACCAATTTACGAGAGAAACTACGATTTGCAAAGGAATCTATCTGAAAAGTTGGACATTCTTTTTCCTTTCGTTTTCGATACTCCACTCAACCATGATCATTTTATTTTTCTTCTTGAGAGCACATAGCATAGCCTGAACTTAAACCTTTAATTTTTACGTGAATTTGACGTTTCTTTTCTATCACTTATATATGTTTTCATTCAATGTTCATTCGAGAAGTTTATCATAGATTCTTCAATGAACAGAAAGAACATTTCTTGACGATGAACATGCAAATGTTGAACGCATCTTTGTGTTCAGGTACAATTGCTTTTATTGCATCTCTGAACATGATATGACTCCTTTCCTCCTATTGATTTTTGTTTTGTTCGACACTGTTTGATCGAATTGAGAATTCTTACAATGTGGCATCATCTTACTTGCAAAAAAGTATCAATTATTTGTATTCTAAGAACTCAAACGACATCGGTTATTACTGAACTTAATTGAATTTCATCTGTTTTTATGTGTTCGAATTCAAGTTTTCACTGTGAACTTGAACTCATATCAAGAAAGTAAACTAACTTATTATAAAGAGATCAGTTTTTCTAGAAAAAATAGACATTTTCCTACGGATAATGTACAGTCTCACTAAGGGGCGTGCAGTATTTTATTGTTTATTCAATGAATTTTTTCGATTGATTTTTGTTGAGGGTTTAATCTGACAAAGAGTCATGGTCATTTCTGAGATTTTTGCAAGTTTCGACAAAGAAAAAAGAACGATGAGATAGATGAATTATTGAGCTGTACAGATTCATTAAACCTGCATAGTGATATTTGGATTGAAACAGACATGCAAATCAGCATCAGAAGAGTTCTCAACTATAATTTTGTTTTTTTTTGTTTCGACATTTCAGCGTTTACTATTCGATTCACAATCCTGGATGTATCCACTAGCGTTCTTCCTGGCTCAAAATGCAAATAAAACATAACGAAAAACAGCCAAGAAACACTTTTCAATGTATTTTTTCACTTTACTGGAAGTTTTCTCTATCTTAGATATTATCTCGAAATCCACCAAAGACGGAGCTTAATCTATTCATTTTTTCACTTACACAAATGACGCTATTGGTCTATACTATTCATCTATTCTTAGCGGTTTGACATCAGTGATTTCAAACAATTTGTTTTCTATTTGAAAGTCTAATATTTTGTACTTTCTAATGTTTGATTTGTTGCAATTTTTCGCTTTGAAGCTTTATAATGACACGCGATTTATTCTTGTCACATGAATCTTTTTGCTAAAAACAAAGACTGAAATTTGAACAAGACATTGAAATCACCATCTATTTTCAGCTACCCATTATTTAATGGCATTTGGTTGAATGGGAAACAAAATTTGTTTTCAATGTTGTCTCGATACACTATACAAAAGTTTTTATCTGTCTAATTATTTCAATATTATCAATAGAGTTATGTTTGTCGTCATTCAATATTTTTTCTATTAATTTCTATTTCTTTTTCCATCTATTCAGTAAAAAGTCAAACTGTAGTATTCTGTCTTAGCAGAAGAATCAACAATTTGAAGTACAAAGATCAAACTAAGTGATAGATTCTATCGGATTATTGTCGTTGACATTGAATGAGTTTAGTCTCGTTTGAAAAGATTGTTTGGTGAAAGAAATGAGACAGAACTTTTTCGATAGTTTTCAACATCGGATAGATCATTCAAGAAAACATAAAGAACGTCAGAGACCAATGATTCGACTATAGAAAAATGAGACATTCGACTATTTTTCTCATTGAGGGATCAATGAGTGTCTTGTCGATGGAACCGAAACAAATGGGAACAGTGAGTTGGTTCCATTTCGTTACCTCCACCAGCAATGATATTTAATTGTGGAATTCCGTTTTTGAATCAATTCATTTTTAATCTTAAGCTCTCTACTTCATATGTAGGGCCATTGAACTTCTGGTGACAATTCCAACTTTTATTTCCAATTCAAATCGCCGATTTAAATTGCAATTAGGTTGATGGATCACCATTCAATCATAATAGACTGAGTGAATTCAGTTTTCTAGAAAAACTGCACAGTTGGTCTTCGAAAACACCCATTATAATGATTCAGGCTGCTGTTTTGTGTTGAAAAGAATCTTCAATTTAATGAGAGTTTCTATTTTTTTTGTGAGGTACTGTTATTATCTAATCATCAATTTTTCATTTGCGACGAGAGAAAAAAAGTTCAATTTTTGTGCTCCGAATGTGGGTGTGATCGAAGAGAAGACCAACACACTCACATCCACAACCAAAAAATCGAGATTTTTGGTTCCCTTACATTCGTACTAACTTTGCTATTTGTATAATATTTGCGCTATCAGGTTTCAAATGTATTCAGGTCTGAACTCGGAAAGTTTCAGCTGTTGAAATCATCCTAGAAAATAGTCGATTTTCCTGTAATTGGAGAACAATTTGATGAGGTTGAATGAATGTCATATCTGAAAAGATTGTTTTTTGAGAGATTTCGATTGCTGACCAACGCCCTCTTTTCTCACTTCACATAAACGAGAATTTTACGGGGTAATGATAATCGGCCGAAGTTGAAACTTAAGACCGAAATAGTCTAATTCGTTGATTGACTATTTTATTGATGTACATATAACACATTAAAAATGCTATTAATCGTATGAGATGGTGCCTTTCTACGAAACGGATTAAACGTATTGGTACGAAAAGTTATTTTTTTTATTAATCTTGGCATCTAAAATTAGTACAAATACGATTTATTCGAGATAGAAGCATATTGTACATTTGATTAGTGTTAGACATGTTACTAAGTCGAGCTGTCACCAAGAGGTCAACTCGAGTTATCCAAAGACAAAAAAATTGAATCAATATGTTGGATCGACAAAGCATCATCTAGAGGACAAGTCAAGTCATCAAAAGACTGCTATATGTTAATCATTTACAAGGTAAAATTATGGACTACCAGTTATTAGTTTACTGAATATTTCGAAACGACCAATCAGTGTGTTAGGTTGCTTCGGTGTTCGCCTTCGACCGATTATCATTACCATACTTTGAATGCATTAGATGTACATCAATAAAATAGCCAATCAATGAATTAGACTACTTCAGTCTTAAGTTTCAACTTCGGCCGATTATCATTACCCAGCGAAATTCGTTCTTCCTTCTATATACCCTTCATTTTCATTAAAAATTGTTCTCACGCTTTACAGCTGTGTCTTAAGTAATTTACCGTTATGCTCATCACAAATCTTTATCTTAATACTTATCGCGTACCACCTGATATTTTATCATACACAGATGAAAATTTCTATAAATTTGTTGAAACTTTTCTTGGTTCTTTACATGCTCGTATACTTTAGTATCAACATATCAATAGTGTACTATGTTTTCTTGTAACAGAAGATCCATATGATATGTTGACTTTGGATGTCGCTGATCTCGAATTAGAAAAATTAACTAAAGAAGTATTGTTCGATTGAAGAATAATCAATTGATCATAAGAATGGGCATTTCTAACAGCTTCAAATGTT